GCTGGGGGCAAACTAACAGCTCCACACTGAAGCCACTAGCAACCCTGTACAAACAAACCCTCAAAGTACTGGACCAGAAACCTAACCGCTCCCATCACTGTACCATCCTCAACAAGCATAACATCCTGTGTTGGGAAAATGTAATAAAGTATAGGAACATCGTTCTGGTGTACAAAATCCTGCACAATACAGCCCCTCCACCTCTTAACTCATTGGTTACTCAACGTAACAACACCAGACTGACCACTAGAAGCTCCACACGTGGCGACTTATCAGTCCCATTCAGGAAGAGTACTTTTGATCAGTCATCATTCTCGGTCACAGCAATACGAAACTGGAATTCTCTACCCACTCAAATCAAAGACATACATACACATACCACCTTCACAGCTCACTTAAAAACATGGTTCACTGAGAACTACACCTGCACACACTAGTCTGTGTTGAGTATGGCGTGAGTGTTACATGTTGTGTTACATGTTGTGATCATGGATGTTGCCCCTCGTTTCTGTTATGTGATTGTGATGTGCTATATGTGACATGTACTGTATATAGTAACGTGTGTTGTTTATTGTTCTCTTTTATCCTCACACCGGTATCTTCTTGTCTTTCCTCCTTTTTATTTTATTTTATATATTTTCTTATAACTAATGCTGTTGATATATTGTAATTTTAAGGGTGTCTATTACCATCTGGCCGGGGACAACAGCTGGAAATTAGCCATGTCTGCTAAAGCTGCACCATTTACTGTTTTTGTGACAGTCCATCGATGGGGACTGTCCACGACACTATAAATAAATAAACTAAACTAAACTAAACCAATCTCTCCTATCTTATTCACCATCTTGCAGGATGTCAGGATGTGTGATGGCCCTCACCCCAGGTCAAAGGAGTGTGGTACCAGGTACCTGCATCAGCTAGTGACATGGATGTTGTGCTGGCAGAGCAAGTGTCAGGGTTAGCCACAATCTGGCAACCCCACTGTGGGGACAGGTGTAGGACAGAACTTCAGGTCTACTGAATCAGCTCTAAAAATCATGCTTCGTCCTTCTGTTGGTCAGATATGGTCATCTTATTTGTTTGGTGAAGAAATTGCCTTATTTCACACTGATGCCTTTTTTATTTAATCTACATTAAAGAGTTGTCTCTTCTTTCCTCACAAATGTTTTGCAGCCATCGACATGCGATCCATTGTTTGTTTGTGCCCCCCCACCCTCTCTCTCTTTGTGATTATTAGATTACTGTTCAAGTGTTGGTGGAATCAGATTTCTCACATCTGTTTCTCTGTACCTCTAACACAAATGCAAAAATGGAGTCTAAAGAAAAACTAATTCCTCAGAGAACGAAACATCATATTTAATATGATTTAATACCATGTTTCCATATTTATTTTACATCTCTTCATCATTCATTTTATAATGAAAGTCCAACATTTGTATAATTCTATTCAATCTATTTCACATGTGGAAGACCTAAACGACCTCTACAGACCCAGCATGTTCATATTTCATGGTGCCATGTTCATGGGCGTGTCATTGACTCTAATCCCACAGGACAGCTCCACAATGCTCAAGATCATCCACTATGAAGCTTAATTTGCCAGATTTGACATACTCCAATTGAATTTTGAATCACAATGATTCAAGTAGCATTTGCAGTTATAAACAATCAAGAGTGGAAATAGAATTGTGGTTGCTTGGTTTAAAGGCTATATTTACATGAATTGGTTACTTTGTTTATGCATGTAAAACAGGTGGATAAATGGTTCCGTTAACCTCCTGGGACCCAGCCCATTGAAAATGTCCACTGTAGTGGACATTTTGTTAACATGCATCTCCTTTGACTCTTTTGAGCTACTCTATCAATCCCTGATGTACTGTACAGAGGACATCCTGGTCTTTCCAGTGATATGTCATTGGTTAAAATTGCATGCTGGGAAGTTCCTCTTTCTTTTCATCCAAAATGGCTGGCATACCAAAAACGAAATGTTATAGAAGCAGGAGGAGAAGTCAAATATTGTTGAATAATTGTGATGTTTACCATGAAAATCATATATGTTCTTGTTTATTAACATGTGAGGAACTATATAATTTGTTCTGAAAGCAATTAAATAATTCAAGTTTTCAAATAACAGCCCTTTTATAAATGTCCATTCTAGTGGACGTCAGGACCATCTTCATGGACTTTATGACTCAATATTGTTGCAGGAGACGGAACTGAAGCAGACATTTTCTGTACCAGATTGTTCAGGGAGATTCAGATTTTGAGCTCTCAGATGATGAGAGAGATAGATGTATTTCACTATCTCTGAGACTGACCGAAGGCAACGACG